AGGCAGATGGTGTGCATCCCAAGGGGCAGACTAACCCAAGGAAGTGCTTTCAAAGCAAAGTCCAGGCTTTTCAAAGATTGTATGGGAAACGCATAGAAGTGTCTGAGGGATGACCTCATCTACACTGAGATATTTAACAAGTGAGTCTTACAAATCTGAACTGAAAAATAAAGAAATCCCAACTGTGGAGCAGAGATTAAAAGCCCCCTATCTTGTCCTCAATGAAGTCAGGTCCTGCAGCCACCCGTGGATGTCCATAAGCAGCAGCAGCTGTGCTATAGGGCTGTGCAGTTATTGCTCTTCCAGAAAAGTCTACATAGGGAACTCCTGACAGGCCCAGACACACAGGAACAGAGATCTGTGTGATGGCTGGGCAGGTGCCTTCTTGCCTCGTCAAACTTACACCTGGCCCTCATGGAGACACCGTTGTGTCTGAGCCACAGGCCAGACCCCATGCTTAATATGACCTCGCATGTGCAATTTCAGGGTTACTCAGAAACCCATGAGTAACCAGTGATGAGCCAGGGAAGAACGGGCAGTGATGTGTGATAGTAACTGCCACAGTTAGAAGATACACACGTTATGGGAGCTTCCTCACTGTCCTCCGGAGCTCACAGCTTCTCTGTCTTACCTGTCCTGCCCATGTTTTTTTCACTATTATTTTACTATTGGTTTTCTGGTTTTCTTTTTTAGCTGAGGCATCTCTAGATCAACAGCAACTGGACTTGAAATGTGAGGCTTCGACAGCTGAAGCCAAGAATTCGAGCTGGCTCCTGAGGTTTGGTTGTCAACATTAAGAATCAGTGTTTTCAAATCAGACACTTTACTGGGTCTGCCAAGTTTGATTCCCTATTGCTGATAGCACTCTTAGCCATAGTTTCTGGGAGAGGGGATGACTGCAAATTGAGATGGTACCACACTGTTCTTACGGACAGCTGGTATTGTCTCTGAAGTGCAGTTACCAGGCACCCCTGATCAGTAGGGCCAGATGAACGCTGTGATATTTAATTCTGCAGCTCCCTGACGCTCAGTTTGGTCACCCGTACCTGTTCGGTTTGATCATCCTCACACCTTTCCGAGCTTCACAAGCAGGTTTTTGTTCAGAAACAGCATCTGAGTCATGGCTGTTCTTGTAAAAAAATCTCTCTTTAGATAATCCAGGTCAAGAGTGCACACGTAAGAGTTTATTACTTGTTGGTTTTTTTTTCCTTCATTGTGCCTTTGTTTAAAAAAGCCTCTCATCCAACCAGTGAGTGGGAAAAAATGGTGTAAGACTTAGGTGAACCTTGAGACACTGTAGAAATTGAATAGCAAACATCTGAATCATAAAAGCCAGTGAACTAATGTGTTCATCAGACTACCCAGTAAAGATTTAAAAATAAAAAACATGCTTGGATAATTCAGGATCAGATTGCAAAAGGTTTCTGATTCTTGACAAGAGCTAAGTTTGCTCATCTGTCTATTTAAAACAAGCAACTAGATCTGAATGTATCAATTTTTTAAAAGTATTTGTATTGCAATTGGAAGGGAGAAATAGAAAACTGATCAGTCTGGAAAGCTATTAAATAATGACTCCTGCCTGCTCCTTTGTTATGTACAGATCCACCTCAAAAACAATTGGCTTTGAACCAAAATACTAAAATTCCCATTGCAAATGCTGTTGGATTTTGCAATGTTGTTGGATGATGACCCTGTAAGTCTTTTCTTTGTTGTTTTCAGAGCTCCTGAACAACCACAGCTCAGTGTTTCTTGAATTTGGCTCCATGGACACCAAGTGCCTGTGGAAGCCTGGCTGTTGGCTGTGCAGGGGAAGGCCTGGGCAGGGCTTCAGCCCTGAGGGCTGGGCTCAGATCGCTCCTGGTCACACAGTGGAAGGGAGAGGAGCGTGGTTCTACGCCAGTCATGAGTGCGAGGTGAACTGAATAATAATAATTAAAAAAGAAGAAGAAAGAAGTAATAAAAAAGCAAAGCCTGTAGGTTTGCTGTAGGCAAACTCTGACTAGAGGATTCCTAGGACTGTTCATTATCACTGGTGATGTCTGATACTGATTGAGTCTTTCAGGGCTTGGATGCCGAAAGAGCACAGCAATTCCACATGGTAATACTGTTTAAAGTCTGTCAGACAGGATAGCAACACTTGAGGGATGTGGCATAAAATCTCCCTCAACTGGTTTTGTTTTCTGTCTCTCCCCTTACTCCCTCACTGCTCCCAAGGGGCTGGGATCCAGAGGAGCTTCATCCCAGGCTTGAAGTGCATATGAGCATCCTTCCTCCGTACCATCTTGAGGATTCAGGATATCTCACCCTAGCATAACGTCCTCCAACTACCAGGACTCACTGAATGCAGCTCTCATCATTTGTGAACTTTGCGCTGTCCCTCTGTCTCCACTGCTGGGGTCCCGGAGCTGCTGAGTAAGGAACTGTCCTGGCTGAAAGGAGAGCAGGAGAAGGCACATTTGCTGTCATTCACTGTCGTCATGTTAAAAAGTCATCCACCACCGGTTAAGGCTGATAGCATTTAAGATGCATAAGGCCATCTACAATCTATTTGCAATTCGCTCACCAGCTTTCAGGAAGTGTTTGGGTTTGGTTTTTTTTTTAAAGTAGGATTTTATTTCCCAAGTGGGAGATGGTAAAGAAAGAAAATTTAGTAACTTTGTGCACCAAATTGGTAACACATAGCCCTTGGGCCCTTATCTGCAGTTTTATCAGATTTATCCAATGTAATATTAATGGACTAAGCCTTCTCCTGACCATCTTTTTTCCTTCCTCATGGTGGTAGGTAGATAATATCAACCACGTTTTTCTGATGGGGAATGTGCTTGTCTGTTGCTGTAGTAAAATAAAAAGAGCTTAGTCTTTCACGCTAGCCCCCATCCAGCAACCCCTTCCCCTAGCATCAGTGCAGAGGATGAGATCCACTGGGGGTGCACAAGCGTGTTGTATCCCATTCTGTTAGAAGGTGATGTCTTGGAGTGACAGAAACAGATCAGAGCTGCACAACATTTGTGGGTCTCCAGGAAGAACTAAGATGTGCGTTGTGTCTTGTCTCAGGTGCGCTGATACACATCAGTTGTCTGGCTAAGATCTGTTCCTCCACTTCTCACCTCTATTTCTTGAAATCAGGTGAAATCCCACATTTTAAAATCTCCCAGAGCTAATGTGTCTTCATCCAGAGGGTGCTCAAGTGACTGATGAGATTCTCGTTGACATAGGTAGGCCATGAGAACAGAACTGGAGGTAATAGCCCTATCTGTGCATAGTGGCTTTCACCTCGACAATATTTCATTTCCCTCTTGTCAGGAAGCTGAAACCATTATAGATTTAGTTTATAGCTGATATATAGAGAGAAAAATCACTCAAAATTCTCATCTATTACTGTCTCTCTAAAAACTTGCATCTTCCATAAGATCTGCAATGCCATCATCTGACATGGGAGAGCAGCTGAAGCTCTCCCTGAGCACCACCAATACAGGAAAAAGGAATTTCTGGACCATGCTGATCTGAAAGAAGAGGAACAACTTCGCAGGCACAGTTACACAGCCTGACTGCACGTCTACTAGTGATCAGGAAATCTGGAGGCTTTTGAAATGATGTGGACTTGCATCTTAACATCCTTTACTCTTGAGAAAGGTGCCAACACCCCATCTTTCTTTCTTGACTCTTCTCTGTCAGCTGCTTTATGCAAATTCTGGCCCTGTTTTGTCTCTCTCCCTCAGGACCTCAAGCTGTTTTAGCAGGCAGTTCCTGTGACTTTCTCACCCAGGGCTTTGCCACTACTAACCTGCATCTTTTTTCCCTTCTGCGTTGGCCAGATGGAACTTACACATGACAGTCTATGAAGACTTCCACTGGAGCGGTGCTTCCTTGTACCCTGGGGTAACTGCACTACCATTTAACAGGGTTTTAGACACCCCAGGCTGACCTTCAGATGTTCCTGATGATCCAAAGGTATAAAATCAGACTGCTCTAGCCAACACTGTTAAGAGTATGGTGAACCAACCTGCTTTACAGAACACATTAGGCTATGGAGAGCCTGTTGAAGGGAAGTAACCATATTTTTGATCTGATGTTCTAAATAATAATAGATAGTGGCATATTTGAGAAGAGCACGATTCTGACGCCTGGGGTACTGCGCATGATCCTGACTGATCCTATTTATACTAGTGGGAATGATGTTTTCATCCATGGTTAAAGGATCCTGACAAAGAATGGTGGAACCAAAAGTGGACTATACTATTTCATAACTGATGTTTTATTCAATTAAGTTGAGGACCTAATTGAGGGCATGAGTCATGGTGTGTTTGGCATGACACATGGAAGGACTTTAAGTGCAGATACAACCTACAGGTTCTCCTACTGCCCAAAAGCAGCTCAGAGCCCACTCTGAACCTCCACAGCTCAGCTCTAGGAAGCTGTCATGCATCTCATGGTCAGCACAAACCAGACTATTGAATTTCTCTCTTGCTACCTGTTTGATGTGAGCAACTGTGGAAAGGCCTTGGACTTGTGACTGCAGCATGGAGAACACTCAAGGGTTTTGCTCTCATTTCAGCAGGTGCAGCTTTCAAGTCCTTGAAAAACAAATGGTCATTTGCTTTCCTGGTCACCTCTCACTCAGCTTTGTTCTTGCTGCCATTAGAAATGGCACAAAAACTAGTGACAGGGAAGGGCTTAAAATAGGGCTCCCTTTCTAACCAGAAAGGTTTTGATGAGCTCACAATGTAAGTGCAAATCTCAGCTGTGCTGGTCCCATGACATCACAAACCTTAGGCATAGCAAGTAGCATTCTTGAATGCATCAAAATCTTGTCTTTTAGCATTTAATGCGAGACATTACAAACTAATGAAGAGGAGAAATGTATGCAGTGTTGCTGTAAACCAAATATACAGATGTAAAATAATTAAGAATAAACTGCTCCATAAAAATGCATGTCAATAAAACCCAGTCTGGTAAAGTGATTTATGAATAATTTCCTAGAGTTACTAAAAAGAATGATTTCTCGTTTGAGGCTCTGGAAGTCTTGAGTCACATTTTGTTTTCTTTTAAAAAAATGTCTTAAAACACATGGCTTTACAGCTGCTGCTTGGAAAATATACACCTCCAAAGTCTGACTTTCATTTAAATACAAATGTACAAAATGTAAACTGAGACAATAGAGAAATTTACAAAACTTTTCTTTAAAAATAATAAAGACAAAATTCAGTTCTAGTATGATGCTATTTAAATACGTGCAAGTAGTCATGTTCATTGAATTTCTATTGCAATGTTCTAAATAGACAAATTTGATTCACACAGTCTTGAGTGCCACCTCCAAAAACAGACCTGAGTGGAAAGTTCTTCTTAAAATGCGAGGCTCCACTGGAAGGAATGGATAGAAAATCTCCATTTTTGGGAGATCCTTTTATTTTCACTCAACGGTGGAGACTCCCTCATCCATAGAAGCTCCATAGATTATAGTGGAAGGATGCAACACCTTGCTTCGTAAAACTGAGTTGGAACTAGCTGCTTCCAGTGGAGTTTGAACTTACGTGATTTGAATTTATGTGGTGATTTAAACTGGCCTTTGAATTTGGAGAACTCTTTGAATTGTTCTGATGCTGCAGAAAGAGGAAGACAGTGACAATTAGATTCCCCAAATAAGCCATGCTTTCTTTTACGCCGACATCGTTCATTTTGTGGTGATAGCGTACTGACTGGACTGCAAGGCTTTCGTTTGAAGATCTTTGAATGTAAAATATTCTTCACTTTCTTACCTGTGTTCTCTCTAGGTCAGGAGGACCATGGCAGTTCTTGAAGAATGTAGCAAAGAAGTCTCACTCCAGCTCCAGGAATCAAATCAATTCACTGCAAAATGTCAGTATCTGCTAAATCTGACTAATACAGAAGATACCTGCTAATGCTCAGGTGTGGTTTTAACCCTACAGAAATAGATTGGTCTAAGAGCTTTATTTAGATTATGAGTGGTGCCATAGTGCCTCAGGAAAGCTCTATAGCACTTATTCTCTGGTCTGCTCTGTTCTCTAGAGTCTTTGTTTCCTGCCATGACTACTTCACTCAACATTTGCATTTTTCTTTTCTTTTTAACACATAAATCAAAAGTTTTCACAAGGAACTTATCAAAGCCATACAAACATTTCAAAAGGTATTTTAGCACATCACTAAAAATTAGTTTGGGTAAGAAGTTTTCAACCACTGGAAACAAAGCTGATGAAAAATGCTGGAACTTCCTATGGTAAAAAAAATCACAAGACTTAGGTGGGAAACCTGGGATAGGCAGTGTTAGCCAGGAAATTACCAGGTAACTGTGACAGCAAGCCTCTCTAAGACATACTGTCTTTCTCCTACAAAAATATCACCAGAACATGGATGGGCATCTATGGGAGGTTCCTTGTCTTAGACATAAAAGATCTCACCTGTCGTTTAAATATTCTCTGTAGCAATCCTTTCTTGGGTGGCTCTGGAGGGTAACTTTTGTTTAGGTCTGGTGAAATAGTACCATTTGGTCCAAATACATTCAGTTCTTTGAAACACTCTGTTTCTATCATCTAGTGGAATAGAATAAGACAGAAAAAAGGAAATTATGCATCTGTATTAAATATATTCCAGTTGCTCAAAGTCAGGATCAGGACCAGCAGCTTGAGCAATACGTTAGGAGAGTTAACAGCTGAACTCCTGCTGGTGGCTATAGAAGGCAAATAGGATGTACGAAAAAGAGAGGTTGAGTCTGCTCTGCATCATTGCACATCAGTCTTATTAGATGCTGCCCCATAAAGCTTTCTGTTCTTTTCTTCAGCACTGTGGAGAACACTGGGTAAAGACAGGCACACTCACAAAATCCCAGTTATTAGCACCCCTCTGCCCAAGTGGATCTGCTGTTTGATCCAGTGTCAGCTTATGAAACCCACTGCTGGCTGTGTTTTGACATCAAACAGAAACAAAGACCCAAATCTGGAAACCCTGAAGCAGTTGAAGGTCCAGAGTCAATACTGCTGCAGCTGGGACCTGCTGCAGGTACAAGGCAACGAGTGAGGTCAGGGTCACCAACGGAGGAACCTCCCATGGAAGCTCCTCAGAGCTGCTGTCAAAACACCTCTGTAGAAATCCAGGAGAAGGAAGTACAGTGGGATCCTTGCCAATTTACACAAACGTGCAGAGCCAACAGATACAGTCACCTGAACCTAACATCTGTGGTACATTATAGATCTTGAAAGAGGCCATTTGTAACTTATAAAAGCATTAGAGTCTGGAAAGTTATCCAGTAGCCATATATTAGTGGAAATATACAGCTCCTCTTAAACCATCTGTATTAGGGGTTTTATTGGAGTAATTTTACTATGATACATCCTTACCTCATTTTGCCATGGAATAGACACTGATCCTGTGGAAAACTTGGAATAGAAATCATCATCTGTTTGGTCCAGGTTAACTCCTTTCACTGTGGAGAACTGCTCGATGTCTAACACATCCTTGCAGTACACTGCTCTGGGCTAGCTCAGCAGACAAAGGGGAAAAAAAAGCAAAATAGCAAGAGAAAAAATATTTCTGAGGCTGATCATGTGTTTCATTCACAGATTCAGTCAAGTGAGAACGCCTAACAACAAGTGACTATCTGCATCCTGCTTCTCTAGACTCGCTCTGCCCGCATGTTTATCATCAAAGGCTGACTTTGCTTCAAGCATGTTAAGCTTCCCACTTTGAAGTCTTTAAATCATCAGCGCAGCCGAAGTGGTTTTAGTCATCCACCATACCATATGGTTAAGAGGTGAGGGGGAAAGGACAGACAGAGCAAGGAAACAAAAATCAAATCCTTCGGTAGTCTTTTGTTTTAGAGAGGGAACAACAGAAAACCAGAGTGTTTATGAGTGACACACTGGAGACAGCTGTGAAAAGGGACCTTCTGCTCAGGTAGCTGGGGAGTTTGCAGCTGAAAAGTTTAAAGGAGCGTATACTAATTGCTAAAGAAAACAGAAGAGGTTTGGCATTTTCCCATTGTTTTTATTAATAGCTCAGCTGCTGGAAGCTGTCCAGAATCACCTCCATTAACTCTTTTAGCTTGACTGCCTTTCTTCAAACAAATAGTCATATGGCTTTGCCTTTTGAAACTACTCAATTTTCTGGGATGACAGAGACAGGACTCTTTGCAGTGATGCTGTTTCTAGCTTCTGTTCCAGCAGGTAGCCACAGAAAGGAGAAATAGTCCTCACTGGTACCTGTCATAGTGTGGTCACCTGCATGCCTGGAGAGCTCCATCAATAACACATTTATCCCTTGATGCACTGGGATAATCGAGGGGTGGTTTCTGGGACCAGCCTGACCTGCTCAACTCAAGCACGTGTTGATCCCACTGTCTATCAGGACTGCACAACCCAGAGGTCCAACCAGGCAGTATTTTATCTAGACCTGAGCAGTGTGACCAAACAAATCAAGTTATTCCTGATGGAAGTTCTATTTGCTGAGGCTGCATCCCTCTGCATTCCTGACGGCTGCAACCCACAACATTTTTGTGGAGACAGAGTGGTCTAGAAGAGGATGGAGAGACATGGGTTAGATTAAAACCTTTGCCACTGGCTATATAGCTCTGGGTGATTCCACTGACTTCAGTAAAGACTTGGAAATCTATGGATGAAATGTCAAATAAATTAAATTAGGGGCAGCTCTTGAGTTCCCAATAAATAGCCATAAAAATTTATGTGCCTCTGCTTTAGCAAATATGTCTATAAGAGGTGCCTTCCAGGCCTTACATGCCACAGTTAAGCTTTTAATACGCTCTGGCGGATCCCAAATTTGAGCCCAGAATTTTCTAATTTTCTACATCAGAAAGAAATAGTAGCTTGTCTCCTATTTCTTCCCACTAAAGCAGGTCGTAACACCATGGGCTAATTGGCAGGAATAACTAGGCCGCATAGTAAAATGTAAAGCAAAACCAGAGCAGCTAAAGTAAACTTTTGTAGTGTTCAGACCACTTTGGTTTGGTTGAGTTTGCAGCAATGTGAACGAGAGCTGCCAAGATGTTACTTTCCTTAATATGTTAAAATGGCAGTGTTTACTTAGAACCATATGGGAACTTTAAGGATAGAGGGTCTAGCCAGAAAGAGAGCCCTGCAGGAGGAAAATAATCAGATAACTCTGCACTGGGGTAGAGACCGACACCACAAAAGGGTGGAAAAGTTTTGTTCTTGCCAATGCAACAAAGACTTCCAGTATGTGCGAGACTGGTGTGCAAACCCCAGTAAGGACTCAGTGTCGGGTTCCCTGCCCCACGAACACCAACAAGTTCAAAATGCTCTCTCAGGTCCAAGTCACCTCCTCTGCTCAGGGTGACACTTGATACCTGAACCTGGTCCAGACTCCCTGTACTGATGATGATCCAGTCCATTCCTCAGTTCCCTGAAGCTTTGGACTTTGTAATTCTGATTTCGTCTCAGCAGATAAATCTATGTATCTGTATGCATACATGTGGCTTTCACTGCTGATTATTCTGAGCACCACCTGGTCCTAAACATATTTATTCTCACACCACTGTTGGGGGTAAGGCAGCACAAAGGTTCCCAGTTTAAAGTTTGGGAACTGAGGCATGAACAGATCAAGCGGTGCCTCCAGTGTCACACCAGACGACTGTGGTAAAGTAAGTGGGAATGAATCAAGCCCCACCACCCCCACCCTGCATGCACATCTCTGCAGAGCAGCTCTCCTCTTCCTTCCCAGCCTGCCCACTACAGCCCTGCACCTTATCACATCTTCCTAGGGCAGCAACCCATACAGGGAGTGACGACAGCTCTAAGAGAGAAAAGTTATTTTAGAAACAAATGTCTTGAGAGAGGCCACTTCTTCCTATTGTACTTACATCAGGGACAAAGGGAGGATCCAGCATTGCTGCTTCTAACCGCTTGTAATTCATGCTCTTGAAGAAGGGGTGCCTCTTCACTTCTGCTGCACCTTCCCCTTGGCATCCCAGCCGCTGCTTCACATCTTTGGTGAGGAGCTGAAACACATCAAGAGGAATGGTAAGGATGTCGGAGAAGCAAGAGCTCCACAAAGATATTTTTATCTCCTGTTGGGTTTGAATGTGCCCAGAGGGAAGCACAGGAGGGAATTGTAATTGCTGTTACTTGATGGCCAAAGTTAAATGGATTAGGACTGCACTGCTCTACACTGGTGAAACCCTTTGAAAATTACCTCCTATAAAGTGTTTACAGTCAAAACAGAGACTGCTGCTTCTGCTTACTTTCAGTAAGCACTTTCAAAAAGAGGTCTGACATATATAATAATATATATACATGCATACTCATAAGTCCCATGTGCTCTTTCTCAGGTTTGGTTTTTTTTTCATGTTACTCTTGTAAGAATAATTTTCCTGTGTTACTTAGGCTGGGTGACATCACCATCAAATTGCATTTCCCTCCACCCGCTGCAGTATATCCTAGCACATCACACAACACCAACCCATTGAACCAACCCTTTGTGCTCATGGGCCTATCTCTGCTGACCCCAAGGGGACTTTTGTCCATGGAGCCAGTATCAGAAACCATCCTCAGTTCAGCCGTGTTTGTTTTCAGAGAAGGGCAGAGCACCTAGGTACCTCTGATGGAGCAATGGAGACAAACTGAAATCAGCATCTTTGATCTGATTGATAAACAGGTCCACAAACACAAACACAAGGGTGGTAGGACCTGGAATGTGGATGGACCAACTGATCTGCAAGACCAATGATCTGCAAGTTCAATGGAAAAACAATTCTGGCACAGACTTCTTGGTGGATGAGGAGACAGAACACGTAGCCAAATCTTCACCAAAATGTCTCTTCTTTTAAATCATACGCATAGAATCAAGTAAGCTAACTCACTGTCTGAATACATCACATCTAAACAGTTGAAGAGAGGCATAGCTGAGAATGCAAATGACTAGTGCAAAAAGACCATCCCTTGGGACAGGGACCTTTCTAAATGTACCACTGACTGCAGGCAACTGCTAAAAAGTGAAGGTTTACAAATTTCTTTCCTTTTATTTTTCCTTCCATTCGTCTTTGAGGATGCCTACATGATGCTCTCTTACATAGAGGAGGGAAAGCATAAAAACACTGGCCTTTTTCCAGAGGAAGGCTATGTCTTCCCAGACTGGGCCTACACCACTGTCGCGCTGAGAAAATGGTAGTGGGGCCTGGCCAGTGCCAGGGCCTGGCCAGTGCCAGGGCCTGGTCAGGAGCGGCAGAGCTGAATACAATAACAGCAAGACCTTGCAGCACCTGGCTGAGGCTTGCTTAGGAGAGCAGGAGGCAAACAGCTTTGGGAGGGTCAGAGAGAAAAAGAAGTGTTTTAGGAAGTTTTTCAGTGCAGCACTGCAGGAGGTTGGGAACGGGGAGCCAGGCAGCTTCCTCCACTAAGGCAAAGTTGTCTGGAGATGTTGCCTGTAGGCTTTCCGCTCAAAGTACGCCCCAGTACTGGTGGGTTGTGTTGCTGCCTCAGCCACATAATCTCTAGGAGCAGGAACCTTGAAAGAACTCTTTGTTGCTCATGGGAGGTCAGTAATCTTTCCTCTGCTGTTTGTCTAGAGCCGAGTTTTCTTGTCCTTATCACTGATTTACAGGGTCACAGCTCTTGAGGCTTCTCTGAATGCTCTGCTACCCCCTGGGCATCGGTGGTTTTCTTATCTGACTTCCACAGCCTCCTCAGTTCTGCATTTTTTTTTTGCTAGGGGCCTCATTTCCAGCCTGAGACAGGCTCAGGATGCACCGAGTATGCAGAGCTCATCCTTCAGATAGTCCTGAGCAAGCTACAATGGCAGGGGCCAAGCAGCCAGAAGAGGTGGTGAAGGGGTTTGTGGGACATAAAGAAGTCTTCTGCTCAGCTCCTTCTGCCTCAGCAGTAGCAATAGCCAGAGGAGACTGAATGGATTGAGGGATGGGGGAAAAGCTGGTGGTTCTTGCCACAACAGCAATTTCCAGCTTCTGAATAGCAATGTCCCTTTCTTCCTCAGAGTTTCCTCTGTTTCTGCTGCTGTCTAGGTGGTGACATCTGGTCTGACTGATCACCACGACTGGTTGGTTCATAGATGGAAGAAGACTTGAAGAAACACCTCTATGCCTCACCATCCTCCGAGCATACAGATTCATGGGATACAGCACTGTATTGATCCAGCACATAGGAACATATATTTCTCAGGGCATTTCTCTAGAGCTTACATTCCACAGGTAGAAGGAAAGAGGGATGTTTTGCTTTCAAAGAATCACAGAATACAGAGTCACAGAATATTAGGAGTTGGAAGGGACCTCTGAAGATCATCCAGTCCAACCCCTGCCAGAGCAGGATCACCCAGACCAGGTCACACAGGAACATGGCCAGGCAGGTTTTGAAAGTCTCCAGAGAAGGAGACTCCACAACCTCTCTGGGCAGCCTGGGCCATGCTCTGGCACCCTCACAGTAAAAAAGTTTTTCCTCATGTTCAGGTTGAACCTCCTATGCTCCAGCTTGCTCACATTGCCCCTTGTCCTGTCATTGGTTGTCAATGAGAAGAGCCTGGCTCCTTCCTCCTGACACTCACCCTTTACGAATTTATAAACATGAATGAGGTCAGCCCTCAGTCTCCTCTTCTCCAAGCTAAAGAGACCCAGCTCCCTCAGCTGCTCCTCATAAGGGAGATGCTCCACTCCCTCCATCATCTCTGTAGCTCAGCTGGACTCTCTCCAGCAGTTCCCTGTCCTTCTTGAACTGAGGGGCCCAGAACTGAATACAGTATTCCAGATGTGGTCTCACCAGGGCAGAGTAGAGGGGAAGGAGAACCTCTCTCTGATCTACAACCACCCCTTCTGATACACCCCAGGATGCCATTGGCCTTCTTGGCCGCAAGGGCACACTGCTGGCTCATGGTCATCCTGCTGTCCACCAACACCCATAGGTCCTGTTCTGCCTGGAAACCTTTCAGGTTCTTGCATGAGAGTTCAAGCTCTCATGGTCTCGAGAAAAAGGTTTTTGTTGTGGATTTTTTTGTTATGTTTTGTTTTGTTTTGTTTTTAAATCCCAACGGTAATTTGGATTTAGCCTACATGAGGAGGACTGCTTTGGCATTTCCAGTCAAGGTCTGCTTTGCTCTATTGTGGCTGGGCAGAGAAGAAAAAAGTTGTTTTGACCTTCTATTCTTATGTTGAGAAGACTTTCTTGACATGTGGAAAGAAGAATCTGAAGGGAGAAGGATTACTTTTACTACTTGTGGCTCTGATATACTTTTGGAGCAAGTATAAGGAGCAAGTTGTAGCAGGAAGGGGTAGATTTGGACTTGCCTGTAGATGATAAAGGAGACCTCTGCAGTTTCTGCTCTACAAGCCAGGTGTGAAGGGAAGAAAGGGGGTTACTGTCCTCTCTGTGCAGCCAGAAATTCTCCTGCCTCTGGACTAAGTGGGAAGATCAAGCTGATCTGGAAATTTACGGTTGCCAGGCTGTAAGTGTTAGAAGTTGTTTGAAGTATGTGGTCAGAAGATAGGGTAGTTGAGGACAGAAGAAGCCTGTCTGGGGATTCCTGGACTCCTTCGTGATAAACAAGGGACTATTCAGGAACCTTGTATCCAAGGAGGAAGTCTCTGGGGCATGAATGCAGTTGCTGGTGGGTGGCTGGCCACTACAGACTGAAAGACACAAAAGAGAACAAGCCACAGGGAATGGGCTGGGACTGAAAGATCACAGAAAGGAGGAGATTCTCCTGCAAAACCCTGCTGAAGGGGAGCAGCTGTCTTCTTGAAGAGAGTCACAGGAGTGTCCCAATGGAGAATAAAACCAAGAAATTAATGGAATTTGGTAAGCTGTAGCTGCAGCCAGCTCTAGAGATGGCAGCAGATGAAACCAAGCACTTCCCCGGCTTCTGTTATGGATATCAAGTGATAGCATGCACTAGAATATTTTCCAGAAGGGCAAGTCCTTCCTTTCTCCAAACAGTAATGAGTCTTGTACCATTTCCTGCAGCCCCAGCAGCTTTCTGCAATAGGAAACGTGTGTAATAACTTGAAATACGGATCCTTGAAATACAGAAAACAGAGATAACTGCTATATGTTTCAAGTAATCTCTACACTTTTATTTAATTCAGTATCAAAGGATGTATTTAGTATGAATAGAGAGCAGAACAAAAGCAACTACATCAGGCTGATGACAAGCCCTCCTGGGACAGTAGTGCAATGAGCCAATCAAACATAATTTATGTGTAATTCCACAGCCAAAGTCTATGGAGAATTCACAGAGCTTCAGATCTGAAGATGGCTTAGGCCATCCAACCACGTATGAAGTTGATATCAAGCAGCAGAAATTTAAGTCCTGGTAACAAAGGCTTCAGATGACACTGAATATGTGGAAATGAGGGCAGGATTTAGTCTACAGAGTTATGGGCAAAGCATGGCTAGCATAGGACTTTTAAAGAAGAGTCTTGAGTAGCAGTGGCTAAGCTACATTAAGAGCTTTTTCTTGATACAAAGAACTCTCTGATACTTGCATGTCACTCATTCGATCCCCACTGGGGGTACAAACTCTGCAACATTTGAGACTTTTTCCATGGCTTTGTTTTGCTTCATTTACAAAAAGAAACAACTGTTGTGAGGATTGCTAAAAAAAGCCAACAGTCCCCAAAGAACTGCTTTATTTATCTTCATGTGATCAGTCAGTTCATATCCAGATCATACATACCATGTCATAAATAACTCCAAGGCCTAAGATGTTAGTCCTAAAACTCTAGGAGTAAAGGAAACTTTTTGTATGAGAAGAGTGCAAAAAATTGCTGCTCGGGAAAGAAGAAAAGGGAAATGGTAAAACCACTTCCATTGATCCAGCTGATCAAGTAGCATAAGGGATCACCTAGATAAATTTCAGCCCTGAAACAGAAGTAAACATACTATTTTTAACAATTTTTAGAGAACAGAAAAGTAATACTGTGGTCACCTCTCAATTACTAAATAAGACAAGACAGTGGTGTGAGAACTGGAGATGCCAGACTGACATAAATGGCCGTATACTGCACTGCTTGTGCTTATGAAATCACAGCCCAATCCAGCCAACTGCAGAGTCAAACCTCTCTCAGGTATGGTGATAATTAAGCTTATTGCAAAGGCTTACTACAGAAGCTTTATTATTATTGTTATTATTATTATTAGCAATAGCAATGATAATCATTTGAAGAGCACCTTGAAGTGTGTGAGGTGCCTATTATCTTTTAGTTGGTTGGGGAGGCACTTTGGGAAGGGAATGGAGATCAGAATCACAGAACAGCTGAGGCTGGAAGGTGCCTCTGGAGATCAAAAATCCCTCTGCTCAAAGCAGTCACCTACAGCAGGTTGGGCAAGGCTGTGTCCAGTTGGATTTTGGATATCTCCAAGTATGGAGACTCCACATCTTCTCTAGGTAACCTGTTCCAGTAGTTCACTGCCCTCACCATGGCAAAGTGTTTCCTGATGTTCAGAGGGACCCTCTTGTGTCTCAGTTGGTGCCCATTGCCTCCTCACCTGTCACTGGGCATCAAACCAAGAGTTTGGCTCCATCTTCTTTGCACCCTCCAATCAGAGATCCCTTTTGTGGAGTAAAATGGAAGCTGCAGGAATAAAAAGCAGCAGGACGACAGTCTGCGGGAAACGCAGACAGTGACAGAGTGACAGAACAGTGCAGCAAGAGGGGCCCATCTACCACTGTTGACTTGAATGCACTTCAAGTCACATCTTTGGATGCAAGACTGCACTTGTCAGGGAAAACACGCATGTACATCAATGAAGTACAAGTCATAACAACAACAAACAGGGAGCATTTCCTAGAAAGATTGGATTTTTTCACAGAAAAAACACACCATGAACCAGTTATGTTATATGGGAACTATGGGTTGGGGAGCTTCCCAGAAAGCCAGCTGCCCCTGTTCCTAATTATTTATTATTCATCTCTGTTTCGGTCCAAAATGAGGTCTGATTTATGGGAAATGACTTAGAAAATGAAACATGGAAATATGGGATGGATGATGATTAATGGAAGCTATGATATGTGCCTGCAAAAATGCAAAGGGCATAAACATCCAGGAGAGGAAGGTTGACATGGGGTGACACTGAAGGGTTTTCCTATGAGTGAATGAATGAAGATAATATCTTTCCTGATGGAGATGCTGTTAGCTCATGGAGTAAGCTTTGACGAGGTTAGGTGACATGGTGGGAAATGCGGTGTTCCTCACTCCTGCCCTGAAGAGTCCACTGCAGGAAAGCCTTTTGTGCTGGCACTTTGTGAAAGCTCAATTTATATCTATGTACTGCTACTTTATGCTTAATTTTGCAGGTATGATGAGTACTTCATCATCACTTCTTTGCTTCCTTGTTGAGATGCTGATACAAATCATCAAAGTTCTGGTTTTCAATACAAAGAGCAAAAAGAATTTGAGGAAACATGTTTGGATCATGCATTTTTAAAAATAACACTTGATAAAATAAATGACTTTTGGATGGAAAACCACAAATGCCATCGTGCTCAATATCAGAAGTAAGGCTCTTCCAGCCTTAAGGCACAGTAATTTTAATGCATTAATGTTCAAAAAGGACAGGGTTATCTTTGGATCCATTAAGAGTTTGCACAGACCACCTAAATAAATATGCCACACAATTGGACAGTGAAGCAGTAATGATCAAGTTGTCAGGAATGATTTATTTATAGTTCATGCTTCCCTGAAGCAAGGGACTAAACCAGATGACTTCCTGAGGTCCCCGACTCCCTGAAACCATAGACTCTATGGCTCGAAGATGAAAATGACCACTACACAATAATGACCTTCACTGTCTACTCCCCTGGGAGCAGTAGGTCATCTCCAGCACTGTCCCATCAATGCTACAGTTAATTCTTCTCAGCTTTAAGTTCTCATGGGTTGGTTATTTTCAAAGTATACTTTCATTCTATTATGCCTCATGCCTGCAACTAACTACAGAACAAACAACAAAAACAATTTTTGCCTCATGACATTTTCATTTCATGCTAACAACAGGACATGCACAAACTCTCTGCCACTCCAGCAGATGCTGCTCCTCACCTGGTGGGACTTGAAGTGCTACTAGAGAAGAGATGGCAGGCAGTTTGAGCACATGAAATGGTCTGTAAGAGCCTGTGGCTGTCCTAGATCCTCCCACGCCAACTTCACTGGGGGCTCTGAATCGCCAATTAAGGGCAGTGAATGGCCTAGAGTATCTATCAAGAGTGATGTCAGTTAATTACTACCCCAGGGACTCAGCAATGAGTTGGTGCACTGTGAGTTAATGACTTCCAGGCGTGATACTTGGCAATAACACCATTATTATTTTGCAAGGAGACTCCAGTGTCTCTTCATGAAGCCAGCCAATCAGGATGTTGTTGATATGCTGTTTGCTTGCCTGTTGCACAAGATACTGGTGAAACTCTCACTACCTATTTGCTGACCTTTCTTTCCCTTCATTTTCTCTCTAGCAGTATACACAGATATGTCATTGTCTCCAAAGGAGACTTCACTCTTTAGCAAACAATATCAAGAAAAAGACCACATCCCCTTCCAAATTACAATTCAGCCTTCTAAAGATGGATGTCAACAAGACATTGAAGAATTCAGACGCTGCTTTGAGATTTCTCAGAGGGTTTGAGGATTTCCATTGTCAGACATGGCTATTGTGCTACGACAATGACTCCCAGCTGAAAGAGTGAGAAAACATTTTAAAGGGCAGTTCAACAGTATTAAAAAAAGCTGGATACCCTGGTACCCCAGGGAAAGGCTGCTAACAAAGTTAGTGAGATGGGGTGGGACAACATTTGAGTGTCCCAATAATTTCATTGCATAATCTTTGTCCTGCTTACCCCCAGCTCCCACCAAAGACAATGGAAGCATGGGGTTTTCAGTTCCTTGCAGGAGATGAGAGTCTTGCATCATCAAGTCCTTTTTATTTTCTTCTACAAGATTATAAAAGACAGAAATGCATTCTTGACTGCAAACTCACATTCAGAGTCTCACGAGAATAGAAACCGCTCCCTTGGCCATAAAACTTTGGAGAGGACACAAGATGACCGTGATGAATCTCATGGAGAAGCAAGCACAAATAAACACAATTGGAATGAACAGAGAATGCAGTCATCCCATCAGCAGATGAGCTCGGTTAGTCCTCATCTGCAGCCCCTCTATGGTTTTGTGTTACTGCTCAGACTGTGCCAGATACAGTTTGCTAACAAAGCTGCCACACTGGGCCTTCAAGCCCCTTACCATTTTACAGATGGACTTGGCCTCCTCAGAAAACTTATGGGAGTAGACCTCCTCCGTCTCCAGCACTCTTCTGTCCACTTCCTCCCTCTTCACCTTCTCTTTCCTTCCACGAAACGGTGATTGCCCAGCAATCATTTCATAAATGAGACAGCCTAGCCCCCAGTAGTCAGGGCTGAGCGTGTATCTCTGGTTGTTCAACACTTCTGGAGCTGTGGAGAAGAAAGATGTGCCTTGTGGAAATGCTTCTTATGTACGTGGGCAAAACCCTTAAATTTCTAAAAGGCCCTTTTTGGTGACTCAATACACATGCACCGAGAATGGGGGGTAAAATATAAAATACCTCCTGATTTCTGTTGATGGCATTATAGAAAATGCAGCAGGCCACGTGCCATGTTTTTCTCTCTGCATGCCAAGCTACACGTGCATGCTGTCTTATGACTTCTCTACCAAGTCAGACCAATTGGAAAAAAAAGAAAAGTGGAAGCTAAGAATTAAGGACAGTGTTTCCAGTTTTCTCCATTTAGGGAAGAAATGACATAGAAACACACATCCTGTAAGCAGCAGTGACATTTCTTCAAAAGCAAATTCTGTCTTTCTGTTCAATTTATGACTTTTTTTTCCCGTCTCTTTAAAAAACAAATCCATTTATTTTGTGTCGGACATCCAGTGTGCTTTGGGCACACAGGCACTGTCTTGCTGGCATCCTCACTTCCGTACATGGGTACAAACACACACGGGTGCTCACAAGCACAGAGTCTTGCTGTGCACACGAACTTACTGAGATAACAAAATTTAGAAATGAAAACTGATTTGCTTGCTTCATTAAAGTCTCCATATGGTGTAACAGTGGCTCACATCAGCTAGTTTCTATTCAGTCAAATAAGCATAAGCCATTTTTACTCCAAGAAATATGCCCACCCAGAGAACGCATGAAAAGAATTACATTGAATTTACAAAACAGATGTAGTTAAACCAGGGATCTTGCTTTTTACCAACATACAAATCTCTGCTCTTCTTTTGTGCAGACTCCCCAGCACATAGGGGAAGACTCAAGATGATCGTGATCGAGATGACTATAGACAGACCCATTTTATCATAGTCAAATACATTTTAACTAGCAAAGTAGCAACTAGAAAGGAACCTTTATTTTATGCACATAAACCTCTTAAAATAAATCTATGCTAAAATCACTAGAATTCCAGTTGCTGCCTCCCCATTTCATTTTCTTTACTGATTAAGAGCTGCCATGGTCCATCCCTTTGACCACATCTGATTTCTACTAGCATGGCTTCTTGGTGGGTTGCTGCAGAAAACGTGACCGAGCTGAATTTTAATAGTTTTTTATTATTATTCTTCTTTAGCCTACATGGCAGAAAGATCTCCAAAACTCAAGCAATCTCAGCAGATTATCAAACAGATGAGGTACTGAAGACTTACCCATGTACCCTACTGTTCCTACTCTTCCACGGATGGATTCACCCTCAGGGATTTTAACAGCCAGCCCCAGATCAGATATCCTAATGTGGCCTGGAAGGAAAAAAGAAACAAAACAACACAAACCAGATATAATAATATGATATGAACTAATACATATTAGTCCAAAAAACACAACAGTTGTCATTGCTGCAATACTCTTGCAATTTACTGTTCAGACATTTTAAGAAAAGAGTGTTCTGCATTGCTGAGTTGGAGCAGTTTCATTGATAAGAAACCGAGGAATGATTAAGGGCACGACATCGCAGTGAAGTTAATTTTAATGGTGAGGCTACAGATTACAGTGGATTGTGTTAGATGCTTTAAATCCAACTGAAGAAAGGCAGTGAGGAGCATGCTGTGGGGAAGCATCTTGAGCTGACGATAGTGGATGGATGTGCTGACACAATTCTGTGACTCTCTGATGGCTGAAGGGGCTACGTCTGGTCTGCAAGTCAGCACGAGATTTGATTATTGCTGCCTTCAGCAACGAACGGGTACCTGGGTTTGCATAAGACGAGAGTTGGCTCAGCAAAGGATGAAGGTGCTTTTGAAAATGGAATAGGGAGCACAGATTTAGAAATCGCAGCTCCCTTAGTGCTGTGGCAGCCTTGCAACAAGAAGGGTGGAAGAAAAAAGGCAGACACCCCCAGCAAAGCCATGCTCTGGAGAGCAGACCCTGCCGAGCAGCACAGCTGTGTCCTCCCCTCCGTGCGGTGAGCTCCAGCACTTCACCCACCCCAGGACAGGAGTATTAGCATGCTCTGAGCCTCTTAGTCACTCCAGAGCATTATTTGTCTTTTTGCAATACATATCCTAAAACTAACTTAATCTACTTTACTGTGAAAGCATCTCTGTAAACCTCTGAGACTTACCATAATCATCTAGCAGGATATTTTCTGGCTTCAAATCTCTGAAAATGAAAGATAGTTGTTATTTGTATAAAGCTGGTTTTGATAACATAACCATACGGCAGCGAGTGAGTGCATTTATTGCTCGTAATAAACCAATTGAGTGTCAACTTAAACAGCAAGGAACTCATGAAACCCATGCACCCTTCTACAACTCATTTCACAGATAGACTGAAACCATATGTCTTTTTCTAAACTGGAGTTACATTTTTTCACTAAGCCAAGCTTTTAGTTCCTAATCTACCCTATAATGGACTCATCCATCTAGTCCTGTGAGCCCTGTAAACCAACCCTATAGTCTTGTGCGTTGTTAAATCTCTGTAACGTTTTCTGTTGTAAAAATTTTTATTAAAAAGAAAAAATATTTACATAAAAAATGAAAAATATTTAAATTTTAAAGTATTTTCTTTGCATATGAAAATGGAAATAGCAGTCTGTTGGGGTCACATTTTCTATGCCTGGCATCTGACTCAGACCAAAGATGCGAATGTGTGTACATGCACTTGTGCACGTGTAATAATTTCAGTGAGTTTGAAAAATGAGGAGCAGAGGGGGAGAATGCTGTGTCCAGATTAAAATACTCCTTACAAACTTTCGTGAAACTTTAGTGCCTATGCAGTTCAGAGCAATGCCATGAAAATCAGCAAGGTGGTCACTGATGTCAGAGATGTGGCTTTCTCTGGTCCCATGAAGAAAAAAAAAGTTCCCAAATCTGGCCAAGTTATAAACTTCTGACTAAAATAATCTCAGTTTTCATATATTTAGCAGACCCTTGGCAGGTCGTTCTGCTGAAAGGTTGGTCTGCACCACTCCTGCTCCACCAGTTGCTGCTCCAAGATGCTGCTGAGGTCAACCTCAATCCCCTCGTCTGGCCACGGCTGCTTCCCAAACCTGTGGGGCTGAGCACAACTTTGCAGCCGCCGCCGCTTGGTGCAAATCCAAAAAGTGCTTGGTCTCATCTTTTTTTTTATTTTTTAAGGCCTCCTTGCATTTGTGCACCAGCTTGATCCTGTTAGCTTCCCAGCAAGACACGTTTCTTTTCAAAGAGCAAAGGGAAGGGGCGTACAAGAGAAACCCGCGCACCAGGAGATCCGTGCACTGCACAGAGCCTGAGCAGGAGCCCACCCTGCGTTTCAAGCTGCACCACTTCAGTGCTGTGAATTTTTCTGTGAATGGAGAGGGGTATTTTACAGTTCTGACACTGCTGAGATTAAAATTTCAAAACTTGTCTCGTTTTTATTTATTATTTCAAGCAAGAACATAGAGCACTGTGAACAATCTCCTCTTCTTGCTTGCTCCAGACCCTCTTGACCTCCCAAGATAAACTTCACTGGGTGCCCAGCGCTACCAAGCCTGCTTTTCAAATAAACAATAGCGAAATGTGAAGGGCAGTGGAATGAAGAGAAGCTGTGATTTTGTTTAAGAAACCACTGTGGGGTTTCCCTGCCTATCAGCAGGAGGTTTCCAATGCTGGAACACCACAATTGAGGGCATTTCCTATTTATTTTGAAAAATTTATTCTGAATCCCTTAAGAACTCTTCTCTCAAAGAACTCAGACTTCATTAGTTACTTCGTCTTCTGCTCCAGCAGTTTTTAGTCCCTTAAAGCTGTGGCCAAACGACAAGAATCCTGCATGCAGGTTGGGAAATTTTGTCTTCGAATGAGAAAATGAGAGTCCAGGAGGACTCTGAGACAGTCCTTACAGTCCTCTGTGATTTAGGGCAACCAGAGCAGACTTTCCTTTCCCCCAGACATCAGTCATCATCTCTGTTTTCCAGTTTCTAGTTCCTTGGGATCAAGGCTCGCTTCCTTTGCATGGTCAACACTTCCAAGGATGCCGTGGTTTAGGGCTCATGAGGATCGTGATTTTTGTACTGAGATGTCAAGGAGAAACAAAACTCCCTGGTGGACACAGTTACATGCAAAGCTCCTTCCCAATGGCACAGATTCCCTTGTGTAAACTGGCCTTGCCTAAATACACTGAAACATAAACTGCTGGCACTGCGCCCACGCCTGATGGGCCATGGGACATTGTTTGGTTGTACGGGGCAGCATAAACAACTCAATTAATCACGGTGGACAAGGCTTTACTGCATATTTGTGTAATGCTGAGGACAATGTGATCTTGATGGTGACTGGAGCTTCCAGGCACAGCTACAGTATAAATAAAAATAATTAAAAATATGTATAAAAACATAAAAATTTAAACACATTTTTTACATATATATAAATAACTGAAGGAGAACCAGCAGCTTTTTATGTTTGCTTTCCATGAACAATCGACCCGTTGACCTTTACTAACATGATGCAGTAAAGAAATACAACGCAAGAGCCATGCTTGGCAAGGGAATTCTGAATGAGATAAATCTGACTCCAGCCTGGTTGCTCTCTCGGGTCACGTTCGCAGCGTGCGTCACCGGCCCACGAGATGGGGATGTATTTTCCAGTGTTGTGTTTTACTTAGAAGCATTTTGTTCACAGAAAATGAAATTAAGTCTGAGGAACAAGTGTTTTGCGATGAATTATTCACCTTGAGAAAGCGGTAACATTTAGCTGCTATATTTTATTGACCTATATAGCACTTCTCACGGGTCCCAGAACACACTGTGGTATTACAAATTAGGGGTCTCTGCAGATGCTCCTAAAATACTGCTAGAAAATGTCACCCATAAGGGTATAGTATCATTCATCACCGAAATGAATGTGTCATTCGAGGTATAAACTAGCAGCTCTTTGAAGAGTAACATGAAAACAACTGCTTAAGGAAGTAGCATGCCATTTCTCTCATCCTCTGTTAAGTGGCCAGATCTAACTTGTTTTATTAGAAAGTGGCATTAGTATGGCATTTTACCAGCCACCTTATGAATGTACCAGTCATTTTCATCAATAAAGTAGGCTTCAGATCTACTACTTTTTTAAAGAAACACTATAACATATCTTGAAACTTTATTGAATGCAGTAAGATGGGTTTTTTTAAAGAAAAGGGAAGCCAGACAAGTCACTCATTATTTGACTTTTCAATTGACATTAAACATTTAATTCCATTTTGTTCCTTGGGAAAAAATTCTCCTTCTTGGGCCAATGCCAACTAAAGCAGCGCGTTATCTGCCTGCCCTCCTCATGCCAGCTTACAAGATCTGAGACAGAGAGACAACCAAGGGCCACTTTGCTAGAGATCTCCTCCAAGGAAAATCACAATTTCTATGTATACAAGCATATGCATAGTGCTTATTACACACGGGCATATCAAATGCTTTAGCGTGGCCTAGTTTTTAAAAATAGCATATTATTGCCTATTAATCATTGTCCTTGGAAGTTCCTTAAGCCATTTACAGGACCTCTTCCGCTGTGAATGCCAGCAGCAATGATTTCACAATACAAACATTTAATGTTGTTTACAACTACACTAGTCGTTGATTAAAAAATAGAAATAAATCCTCACAGAGCCACACGAACTCTGTCTGCAGCAGAGACATCCAGCAAGGAAACCTAGGATGGCCTGCAAAAGTGCTCGCATGGAGCCGTAAGCCAGGCTGGAAGTGGAGAACTGGAAACGTGTCCCTCTGGGAGCCGCCTGCCCAGCACCGCGCCGCCAGCGCCCTGCCCGCTGGCTGTCCCCACGGCGGGTGGGACGCTGCCAGCCACCGTGTGGTGCGGATGTGGCTCCTTCCAGGGCTGGCACGTTGCGGCCACCGGCACCATCCGATCCAGGTAATCAAACCGGTTGGTGTCCTAGAGTGGAAACCCATGCCCTGTGTCTCAAACACCCTCCTGGGCCAATTGCGCTCCTTCTGCAATAGGAGAGATGGGTTTTCCACATCTAAATGCTGCAGCCCCTAACGCAACATAATCAAATTAATTAAAGTAGAGGCTTGAACGGAATGATCTCCATTTCATTCCAACTAGAAACCAGATTCTGTAACGAAATTCTTTTAAAAGGAATTTCCATAATTTTCTTATGTCACCCAGTGCATGCTGAGCTAGGGTTTGGGGAGCTTTGTGTTGGTTCTCTCTAATTTAGACAGGATGTATTTAGTGGAGCAACTTCCATGATTCCTGAATCATACTGTATTTGTACCAGGCTCCGTGAAATTTCAGCCAAGGCACTGAGGTATCTAAGCTGTACAGCACCACAGTGAACAGGGGGGATGCAGGCAATCCTTTTCTACCCAGAAAAGAAGTCCTAAGACTCAAGAGAATGCTTACCTGTACACAGTATTTTCTCTATGTAGGTCTTCTAAGCCACAAAGAATCTCCGCTGCATAAAACAAAGCTCTTTCCTCCTCAAAGCCTGGGTTTCCCATGTTGTAGATATGAAACTTCAGGTCACCTCCATTCATTATGGTCAGAACTAAACACAGTGCGTCCTTTGTTTCATAGGCATAGGCTAAATTGACCTAGAAAAACATTGGTAACACAGTTGTGACAGTTCAGTCAGCTGCTAAGAAGAAAGCACTAACTTTTCATCAAAGATTTTATCTAAAAATGGAAAAACTACACTGACTGAATTTGATATGGGCCTTATCACAATAGCAAACTTACAATTTAAAAGTACAGAAAAATGAGATGTTACGATTTTATACATTAATTTGTTGAATCCAGCCTCCTCCTCATCTGAAACCCTCAAGGTTAATGCTCAGATAGCCTCACAGGCTGGACAAACATAGTAAAGCCAGACGTACTTTTCCACATAAGAGAAAACTTAATAGTCAAGGGAGTCTACACCTTCTGCTGCACTGTTTTGCCGGATAGCTCTCAAAAACCCAGCATCTCAAGCAGGATCCCAGGAAGGCCCAGATAACCCAGTCCTGTGGTGGTCAAACAGACCATCACTGAGGCATGGAGCTCAGCATCAACCTTGTGAGGCTCTGGTGGATGCCCCAGGAATGATCAGACAAGCCAAAAGCTACCCATCACTTTCAAGTATGTGCCATTGTCTTTGCTTCTGGAGAGATAAGTAAACCTCTTGCCACTGTTGCATTCATGGTGTTTCGTAAAATAAGTATAAAGGACATGACGGATGCTGAGATAACAATACCTTTCTTTTTTTTTTAAATCTAAGGCAAGTTTTTCGAGAAATACAAGAGCTGGTAGATCTCAGGAACGCCCTACATCAGGCAGACCAGCTCCAGGTCACTGGCTAGATGCTCCTACCAGCCAATCTCTTCTGATTTTACTTGGGCTGAATCTCCTTCAGTCTCCTCCAAGCTCGTCTCTCCCAGACACTCGGAATCCAGGTAATCACACTGGGTAAAAATAGCTCAGCCTGATGCAGCCTTGATGCAAGTCAAGGCTGTAAAAAATGCATCATGTTCCCTGGTAGGAACAGGCACCTTGTTTGGTGCATTTCTCACAGACCAGAGACTAAAATGAGACTTGGTAAAGCTGCATGGAGCAGGACTAAGGTGCAAAGTGAAGGGAGTCAGCTCCTGGCACCTTTCCTGGAGCAGAAGTTGGAAGAGACATCAGATTGAACAAGAAGAGTGCTCAGCAGGTGAGCAGGGAGTTCAATACTCACTACAAACTGACTATTGACTTTTTCTAAAATCTGCTTCTCGTTTAGTGCCATGGATTCGCCTTTCCTCTTTTTTATTCTCTTCTTCTCTAATCTCTTGCAGGCGTACATCTTCCCTGTCGCCCGGACTTGGCAAGCGCAGACCTGCGAATTGAAGAGAACAATTGCTGGGTAAAGCGAAGCAAACGCTGTGTCTGGGTTGCCCTTTCCTCCTCCCGATCTGATCTGATTTAGTCCTTTTAAGGTTCGAGACGGCGGCGAAGCAAATAAGGCACAGGCGGGGGCAGCTGGGGAACCAACTACTGTTTCCAAACCTGCTGCGGAATATTTAATTATTTAATGGTTTAATTATTTCATTTTCCTCCGCCTGCTTCCTATCCCACCTCCTTTTGTCTGCGCAGATCGCAATCTGCTCAGCCACAGCCCCGTCTGCGCCGCCCCTGCCCCTGCTGCCTAGGCAGCCACCTCCAGCCATCAGTAACACACAAATAAGGGTGGGACCCCCAATTCCACCGCGAGCACAACAGCCGAATACAAAACCATTCTCAAAAGTGTTCTTTTGAGATTACGGTGTCACGGGAGGTTAAGTACAACTGTCAGCAATTAATGAAAAGCAGCCTCTGTCGCATCAGGCTCCGGTAACCTGCAACGCCTGAGAAGTAAGAAACATTTTTAACAGAAACTTTCAGAATTACTCACCTCCCCAAAGCCACCTTTCCCCAGTACCCTGTACTGCCGAAACGTGTTTTTCGTTACTGGTTGTCTGGAAGAAAAGGAAATTAAGAAAAAAAAAAGTAAAAAAAAAGACACACTACATTTAATGCGCTCTCTGTGATTTATTTCTTTCAGAGCATACTTTTGAAAAGCAAAATAGATAAATATTCTATAATCACATTATTTCAAGGTAATCACATAATAGAATATAATATATAATTATGTAATTGCATTACTTCAATACTATGCATGGCTTGAACTTTTCAATTCCAACATATTAAGCTGTAATAAAATACAACACATTAGTGAGTCATCAGTATAATTTCTGCTAGCATCTTAGGAGGGGTCTGAATCTCCATTATCAAGCTTTGGCCTTTGTTAAGCAAAGAGGAGGCCTGAGAGCTTCCAACAAGGTATTAACTCTCACGACATATAGGAATTTTTAAGGGTAGTGTTGGGCTAACACTTTGTTGCTTTGTTTGGTCTTCAAGCTGAGAAAGAGAGATCCAAAATTCAATTCCTGACCTTAAAAAAACCCCAGGAATTGTTTCTTTCCTTGTTTCACATCAGTTTCCTGCTTTCTTTAAGGTCAAGAAGAAGAACTCTGGATTTGGAGAGATCCGAGTTTGTATCCACTGCTCCACCACCGAAGTTTCACAATTCCTTCAGCAGTCGATAGGACTATTCCTAGCAGCTTTGCTTCCCTCGGGCGGGCAGCCAGTCGGCAGAGGGAGCACAACAACGTGGCTGTTCCCACAACAGTGATGATGGGGTTGATGACAATAGGAATAAACGTTGAAGTGAATAGTTTCATTTATGGCTGTTATTGTTTTTAAAAGTGAGGGACAAAAAATATGCAGAAGGCCAAAAGTAGAAGAGGAAAAGACGCTATTTTCATGCGTCTGTGAAGATACTGCAAAAGCAACAATTAGCAGAGATAACTACATGCTCGACGATGTCCCTGGAATAAATGGACTGTTTGACTGCTGTGCTGGAGCCAGCAGGCTGTCAGAAGGAGCTGTTGATCACTCCATGCTACTAACATCTCTTTGCTAATCCTAAAAACAGTTCTCTCGGCTTCTTAAGCCAGACAGGCACATCCAATCGCTTGTCACGTTTGTTGGGGGAATGGAAAAAACAAATCCTCAAAGCATTTGAGAAAATTCCTCATCCCAAATGTGAAAACAGATAGGAAATAGCCTGGCTAGAGATGAGTCATCTGCTGGTTTTTTAATTGCAATGGAAGAGTCACGGCTGGATTCAGTGAGGATGGCATGTGGAGCACGTCTTGGCATGAAATGGCTCTCCCCTCTGCCCACTGCTTCCCTTCCCTCCTGTGCAGCAGCTTTGTAGCTTTCCAGGGAGAGGGGCTGGCACAGCTCCTTTGATCTCGGAGGCATCACGCTGATACACACAGCTCATGGATCTGGCCCTAACTCATTGGCCCTAATTAATTCCATTTGTGGAAACTGGGGCTTCTCTCAACCCAAGGTCACAGTTACCCAGCGGCACACGTCTGCTACAGCCCTCACTGACAAGGCAAAGAGCTCTTTCCTTGCAAATTAATACCCACTAAGGCTGCCTGGTTATTAAATGTGCTTAGAGATGTACAGCCAATAAATATGGTATGAGGATGTACATGACATATTTTTGTCTGTTTACAGTGATTTAATAATTGTAATAACTGGACCAGACAAAAAAGTTACCATACTCAGAGTGTAGCTAAACAGAAAGGCAACTGAAAGTGCTGAACGTATTTACACCTAATGCACCTCACACAAACAGCTGAACACTTGAACTTTAGAAGTCAGAACTGTTCTGGGGTAGCTTTCTGTTTTATTCTTCACTTCCCTAGCGAGCAGCATCTGTTTCAGTCTTGCTTGGGCACAGTGTTTGCAAATGCAAAAGCCAGAGGCTGGACGTGTGTCTTATGTATCTTAGACAGACAAGGGTAGGCTGTAAAAATGTGCAATGTGTCCTTCAAGCTGTGCCATGAGTAGAACATTGTGATAGGGCCCACAGTGAAATTGGCCACTGACATTTCTCAGATTGCAGGAGATTTGGATGCCTGTTTTTTATAGGCTGTAGGTCTTTTCCTATTCACCTGCTGTGCACAAGCATAGTGTGCAAAAAACGTGCCCAAGCTACTTACATGCTACCTTCAGGAGTGAGGTGTCCCTAAGAAGTGAGCTGCTGGAGAGTATTTATGGGTGGAAGCACATTCATGGAGGGTGAAGGAGCACTATACACATCCCGGAAACCAATCATGCTCATTGGGTAGTCACAGCTGGAGACTTCATGGTTAAATTGAGTCTAACCCAAATACAACCATGGCTGTTCTATATGGCATCTTGCTCTGGCTAAAGCCATTACCTCTTCTTGAACCTTCTAACTATGAACACTTACAAACAAATGGTAAAAATGAGGAAAACCTTCCTGGAGCTGTCTGGGAGAGCTTCCCTGGAGTACAGCGCAGGGAAATGAGGAATGAGTCTTGGTGGACCTTGAAAGGGAACAGTGAAACGTGGGAGAGAATTGCTGCACCGAGAGGGCCGTAAATTACAAACATTAGATGATGGAGGGAGTGGAGCATCTCCCTTATGAGGAGTGGCTGAGGGAGCTGGGTCTCTTTAGCTTGGAGAAGAGGAGACTGAGAGGTGATCTCATTGATGTTTATAAATTTGTAAAGGGCGAAGTCAGGAGGAAGGAGCCAGGCTCTTCTCAGTGACAGCCAATGACAGGACAAGGGGCAATGGGAGCAAGCTGGAGCATAGGAGGTTCAATCTGAATATGAGGAAAAACTTTTTTACTGTAAGGGTTACAGAGCACTGAACAGGCTGCCCAGAGAGGTTGTGGAGTCTCCTTCTCTGGACACATTCAAAACTCTCCTGGACGTGTTCCTGTGTGACCTGGTCTGGTGATCCTGCTCTGGCAGGGGCTGGACTGGATGATCTTCAGAGGTCCCTTCCAACTCCTAATATTCCGTGATTCTGTGATTAGGATGAGGTGCAGTAAGGCTGCAGAAAGGCCGAACTGTTTATCTCTTGAAAGAAAGCGAGCAAACACGTACCATCTCATCTGTCCAATTTTGACCATATTTTAAAGGCTTTGCATGGAAAGTGAAAATAAACCTTTTGTATTCACTTTTAATTTAAAAAAAGGTGATACTTACCTTTCCAACCACTTCCACTGGAGAAACCTGTCGAAGTACATGCTGTTTAGGTATTCTTGGAATGGTTCCCCACTGAGGTGGTCAAGGACAGATCTATCTCAGATGAAAAGAATATATAAATATTTTATAATCCTGAACTTGGAGCAAAATAGAAACAAAACAAGAGGAAAAAATCCAGACTTCTTCTACAGTAGGATCATTTTACTTCTACTTTATTTCATATTTTATTTTACTCATATTTTCAACCTAGGAACAAAGTAATCTATTTGATGTATTTCATAACAGGAGGCTTTATACAAGCTGAATATGTACTGGTTAGGCTTGCTGGCTTCAATGGACTTGTACAAAGGCTGTAAGTCACTAGACAACAAGGATCTTTCCTTCTGTTTGTAAATTAAGACTGGCTTAACACAACACCCTCAGGAACTGAGCTCCTAAACTTTGAGGGATGTTTACATCTGGATTAAAAATTTCTGGCTGAAGCCCATTTCTGTCAAAAAGGGACCAGCAGAGGTGTTATTTTGAGGAAAAAAAAAAGTCAATTGGAAAAAGGCAATTGGAATTCCTGCTATACAGAAGTAATAACTGATTAAAATCAAAGGGCTTTTCTTAACAGCTACGTGCTTTGTAGATTAAAGCAGAGGAAAGAAAGTCCAACAGAGATGTGGATTTGTTTCTGGATCAAGCAATGAATTTTGGGGCTCACGCAGTGGATGCAAAGTCTTTATAATCAAAAGAAATAGAAGAATAAAAAGGCCAGTCTGCAAATGTGAGAAATAAAATGTTGCTTATGATGGGCAACAAGCAGCCAGAGGCCAACAGACATCCCATAAGGAAGGCCAAGGGTTCAGAGCTGAGAAGAGATGGGCTGAGCTGAGAGCGCTGCCTGAGATGAAGGTGGTCATGTTGTTTAACAGGGGGTTGTTGACCTGATGGGTTTGGTTCTTGCCTTGCTTACAGGGGCTACCATCCACCTCTGCCGGCAGCATTGGTGGGGACAAAACTTGGTTTTGGGAGTAGAATGTCCACAAGAAAGGAGTATTTCTGTCTTGGTGCATACAAACACTTTTCTTTACCCTTATTTAAGGGTATACAGATACATTTCTAGATTTTGCTGGAGGAGGAAATCCTCTGTGAAGCTCTACTCACTCTGGTTTGGGAATGGATAATCTATGTCTCACCCTGGGGCAGTTCTAGACCTGAGCAAACACTTCACCATGAATAACATGTCTCCTCAGTTTAGTGCCTCCCTGTTCATGGCTACTATTCAAAAGTTTTTGGAATTTCTCAGCTGTCTGAATTTTTTTGGTAGTAATTCTTGCACCATCCATTTGGAACAGGCAGGTAATCGCACATATTCAGTATTGGGAAGTCAAAGTGTTGTCTTCATTAGTTTTGGTTGGTCCCAGATCATATGGTTTCCTCTAAATAGATTCAAGCTTACAAAATAAAATAAAAACTAAGTCTTAATAAGCTTTAACAAATGTTCAAATTCAAAGCCAAAATTATAGGGCAAATTGCAGGGAGGTGGAACTAGACTGTCAAAATACTAAAGGTCAAGGCAGAAGTTAAGAGTTATACACTCATTTCTCCTGCAGACTGATCTTATCTATGAAGACATGTCTGAAACTCATCCCCGTTCCTGCTCCTACAGGATAGCAAGCTTCATATTTGTATGTATGCCTCCCTTTTTTGGTCTGACTGTGAACTCTTCCAAAATTAACATTATTCAGTACATTTAGTAAATACCAACAGCAAGTTTTTAAAACTTCCTTTCGACCCTGTTTCAGTCCATGTGAAATGATCAGCATATTTATTAACAAGGTCTCAAACCTGGCTCATTTATCCGTTTCAGTTGAGACGAAGGAATGGGTGTTGGTGAATACGAGCCCGAATTAAGTGGTGCCCAACGCTAGCCTATTCCATTCAGTTAATTAAAAGCTGCATGTATTTTAAAGAACAATAGCTGCCTTTCACCACTTGTTTGCTTTTGAGTTCCCCTCTTTGGCAACAACAAAGTGCATTTTGGAGGGAACTGTTGGCTTTCAAACCAATTTGAGAACTGGAAACAGGCATCAGTGGGGTTTGCGTTGAGCACAGCTCTGCCTTTGTCATTGGGACTGGCACACACAACTGGCGTGAGTTGTGCGAGCATCTCTACACGACACCAGGCCAATGCAAGGCAACTGGTTATGTTATAAGAGAAGGCCAGAAATAACCCACGTCTCCTACCAATGCAAAGAATAACTGAAAACAGAAAAGGTCAATGAAGTGAGTCAAAACAATGAATGACAGCGGAGCGAATTTTACAAATCCCCATTACATCACCCAGGGAAAACAAACCGTGCTCAGCCAGAAACCACATGGGCCAGCTTGCGATGATCCCTCCTTTTCATATTTTTATTGGTTTATGATCTACTGGCATGAACGGATTCGGGTCAGTGTTTGCAAATGCAGATCGCATACCTGGAGCTTTAGCGCATAATAGGACAAATCGCCTTGCCACTACAAAAACTGATAAGCCTTTTCCCAGACAAAGGATGAAATAATGCACGTTCGTTTGAACGTCACAGACAGACAGAAAGCATTAAAAAAGCCCCATTCTCCTGGTGAAGGTTTTCTGGAAAAGCCATGCGGAGCAAGTTTGCACATTCCTCTGTCTAAATGGACTGTATAGCCACTTAATTTTTATTCACTTTGAAACAGAGATGTTTTCTTTGGATACATTATCATTGTAGCTCTTTTCACACAGCATGAAATCCATGGCTGGTTTACTTGGCTAGAACACTCTGTCAAATACCTGAAACACTAAGTGCCTGTGTGCAGTGTATATAATGGCATGGAAATATTTATTATATTTTGTTCAGATGAAATGACTTCACCGCTTGCCTCTAGGATTAGGAACATAAACCGAGGATACATGCTTCAGGTTCAAATTGAAATGTGTCTCTTTACCTGACACATTCCTTGCAAGCTGCTGACTGCAGCCCTGTGATCTTTGGGTATCGAGTTATACTTACTTTGTACAGTGAGAGAATAGCTCTTTGCAGGGGCTGTTTTCGAGTTTCTCCTCTGTCTGTTGGATAAGATCTTGACTGACTTCGGGAACGTAGGCTGGAGACTGAGGAGAGAACAGAGGGGCACGTTATCTCTGTGACGAGATGCAGGTTCCCTTTTAACGCGTAAAAGACACATTCATGATTAATGCCCTGAGCTGCTTCCATTCAATTCCAGCGGTTGTGTAAAAGCAAAGGAGCTTTACGTCAAACAGCAGTAAAATAGGATACCGTGGCAACTCGCTCCACATTCCTCTCTATCCTCACATCGCTTTTTTGCCTTCTCCTGTGCCTTCACCTCCTTGCCCAGCCTCATGAATATGCAAGACCCACTCCTTGCCAATTCTTTCAACTGCTCCCTTGCATCCCATGAAAAATGTGCTGGCCTGAACTGTGTGCAGGCCATTCTCTTAAACAAAAGAGAATTTGCCGAGTGTTTTCACTTCATTGATGATTCATTGTGCTGTCTGAAAAATCCATCTTCTTTTTTCTTTTTTTTTTTTCCCACCAGCAAAGGAAAACAAGAGTAGAGCATTGGTGTTTATTGATTTATGTATAAATAATATAAAAAGATGCTCGCAAAAGTGTCTGGACACCATAATGCATCATTAGCAGGACAAAAATAATCCAGCAGTTTTAAAATAATAATTTCAAAAAGGAACTCTCCCAACCAAGCACATAAATGCTTTTCATCCTCTCCTCCCTTTAGAGAGAATGTACGTTCAGCCCTTTCAAAAAGCCTTTACCAAAGAGAGGTCTTTCGCAGCATGCCCTGATGGTTAACCAGTTTAGGAGCTTTGGGACTGATCTACAAAGACAGTTTTTAGGCAGGCCACATTCTTACTCATTGACTGTATACTGTAATTATATTAAAAAGTGTATATGCAAGTGTGTGTGTGTGTGTACTTATTTATAGACATTTCCCCCATTGACATGAAAGCCCCTTTATATAACCAATCGGATTTGGGTATTTTCAATAAATCCAGCCACAGATGACAAAATCCTCTTTCCTTGCAGAAGTCTTAACACTCAGTGAGGTTCCCCATCCATGGTCATGACCACCAGATGTGCTGAGTGGGTGGGTCACAGAGCATCATTCCTGGCCAGATGTTCTCATTAACTCACCCAGAGTTGGGGATATCTTGGCAGGCACTGAAATGCATTGCAGGCAGAGCTCAAAAACACTGGGAATGAGGACAGAGGAAGGGGCAGAGGTGGGGCCAGAGAAAATCTCCAGCGTGATGAAAGCTGAATTAAGTCTTTTATCTTCTCCTTCCCACTGCTGAAATGTGGATATGATCCCGGTTGTGACATGAAAAAGTAAGTTTGTTCCACTTGAGTGTTTTTAAATAGGAGCATGGTTTACAGAACTGCCTGTGCATGCTGCGTAATGCAGTCTCACTATTCAACCTTTGCAGAACATGCTGAGTATCTTTGACCTCAATGAAATATTTCCTAATTTCCTCCATATATTCCTCCATTTCCTCAGCAAAAGGTATCTAGGGAACACTCACTTTTAGTTGCAGATAGAGTATTCTGATAATAATTAAGAAGTCTCACAGTTTGTTGAGAGGTAGATGAGTCCCACACTGTCATCTAAAAGAGGAAGAGACTGAGACAAAGACAGATTTTTCTCTTAAATTGGCAACTGAGGTAGACAGGAACTGAAAACTGTAGACCAAATCTCAGTAAATCAGGCAATTTTGACAAATTCCTAACTGTAGGTGGCCATGACTAAATCTAAGTCCCAGTTGTAGCTCAAGGGAGGCAAGAGAGAAGCAGTGAAAGAACAAGGAAGGAAGGGAAGAAGGGAGGAAGGAAGGAAGGCAGGCTACTTTATACTTTGCATACTAAATAGGGTGTGCTACACAAGCTGATTGGCAGTCCAAAGCTTGTAGGTGTCTGCATGAGTCCACTGCTCTGAGTCCTGGTCATCCTGAACATCTCTGATGGGGTGTGGCAGATGCACCCACCCTACTAAAGACCTGAGAAAGACCCAAGAAAAGCAGTGCTAAAGTTTCTGGCCCTGCTGGCGCCAGGACTGCCTCCCCTCTCACAGCTCATGTCTGGTGCACACAGTGGGGGTCAAAGGCGGGAAAGTTGGGGTCCTCAGCCAGTAGGGGCTGACACGACCATGTACTGACCACAGATCAGATTCGACCAGGGTATAAATGGGGCCCTGCCGGAGGACTCATTGGAGTCGGTCCTCCTCGGAGCAGCGGGTCTGCAGTCGGGGACTCTCCCCTTGAGTTGGGACGCCACTTAAGGTAACTTCTCGAGATTGAGAGCCCTCCCTTTCTGGTGAGTGAGTGAGTGCACATTTTGGATCGTTTGGCCAAAACTTAAGAATTCTTAACGCAGCTGTGTCTGCTAATATTCCCAACCAGCACATCGAACCTGTATTTGTTGAATGTCAGTGGGATGTTGTTTTGGTGAATGAAGTTTTTATCTGCTTAATTTAAGTTGCAGATTAAAGTTTGAGTTCATTATTTGTGTGCATGTAGCCATTTTGGCTACAAAATTCTTATGAGGAAAGTGGAGAAGAATGAGCAAAAGAAACTGTAGGACAATGTGGGAAGTATTTAAGAATGGCACAAACTGTGATTTCTCTCTCCAAGTTTGTGAAAAACCACTTGGTTTTTCAAAACCACTCAGTGCTGACCTTTGAATCTTTGCTTCCTCTGGACAAATCGAGAGCAAGCTCACAGTATCAAGGTAGGTAAAGACATAAATACACTGACACTCTGTACATGGACTAAAGCCTTACAGTGCAGTGCAAATACTTTACTAGCCTGCTTCATTTTCTATAGCAAAACCCACTTTTTTTCACAGGTCGATCTTTTCCAAAGAAAAAGATTTTAGAAAAAGATTTTTTTAGGCCCAGCAAAACATCTCTTGTCATTATGCAGCCCTTGATAGTGTTCAGGGCAGAGCAGCTGCACCACGTCTATGGGAGAAGCATACCCAGCCCTTTCCAGCTCTGCATACAGGGATAGGGAGCCTTCGTATGATCCTTCCTGAGATTTTCTTTGAGCCTTCATAGTCCCCAGTGCTCCCATTAAACAGCCACGACTGCCACTTTTTCTGTTTAAGTACTGTGCATACCTACAGGCTCCAAATGTTCAGACAAAGCCAGAAACAGTTACGAACCAGAACCCAACCCACCAACCCACTCTGGCTCCCCTGGAGAACAATTAGGAAGCACAGGTAATGAGTGTAAGAATAAGTGTATATAAGTGTAAGAAAGAATTTGGATCCCGAGAGCAAAAGCTTCCAAAGGTAACACTTCGGCCACTTCTGGATGGAAAAGTTGCTTCTTCCCTGGAGAGGTGCAAAAGATTTCTGCAGCCCCACCGAAATGGTGATTAATGCCATTCTTCTGCTGCATTGTGGGTAATGGCTGTAAAAGCAAATTTGGTTTTACAGGGGAAGAGAGACACCTGCTTGAACATATTAAATGTCCTGTGGTGGCTAGGAGAGCTGTACACCACAACTGAGACCATTACATCTGAGCATGTGACAAAGAATACTCTGCTAACCCTTCAGAAACACCTGAAGAAACCTGCTATGTTTCCCCGTATTCAAAACAAAACGCTAGGCAGCTTTAGGCAGCTTTAACAAGCACAGTCCTAGATTTTCCCTAATGGATATTCTGTTTCCTGAAGGTAAAGAAACTGATTCATGATCTCACTTACGGTAATGTAAATCAGAAATGATGCCAGTCAAGTCAACAGAGTAACACTAAGGTAAAGCTGATGGAACTGAAACCAGGCTCTGGCAGTACAAAAAGTGCTCAAATTGATCCAACAACAGTTTTTTCTCTCATCATGTTATCCTTTTTGACCAGACAGTTTAATAAAAGTCCAAAAGTCCAAATTACTTTCATGAGGTTTTAATAAAAATCTATCTCCTGTATCTTCTCACTTATGGCCAGAAACTTAAAACCTTCTTATAAATATTCTGCTGGCAAAGCAATATCTCAGTTTTATGATGTCCTCTTGTTTAATTTCTAAGAAAAGAACGCAACCAGGAATTGGATTATTGATAATCGGAGAAATAAGAAATGGATGTTCAGTTACTTCTGAGTGGGACTAACACATTCTGAGAAAAAAGTCTCCACTTCTAAATTTTGTTTGGTTTTTTCTAATTTAAAAGACAAAAGAAAGCCTCCCAGCTTCTCTTCCATTTCAATAAATGGCATGAAAACAGCTGAGTCATCACACTCCTGTTCAAGGTTAGTTGTGTTTGCACCCACAAAAATTTGGATTTCCCTGTTCCTTCCATATTAAGCCTCTGGGCCTGCAAGATACTTCTCATATTTTGCTGAGAGGTTGATTTCAGGTTCTTCCCCTTCCTCTCCTGTTCACTAGGATGCAACCACTGATAAACATCAAGGTGGCTAGGTTTGAAGCCAGATGCAGTATCTTCAATGTCACCCATAAGTCTGAATGCAATCTGGTCTTTCCTGCACTAGCACAGTTGTCCCTGGCAGCTACTGCTGTGTGTGATGCTGCCCATGTCCCTGCACTCAGCACCTCACTCAAGTACTGAAAAGAAGCAAAATCTAATTCAGATGAAAGCTTCAGGATGACTAACTTCCCATCATCTAGATAATCCAATTACTACTATAGTAATTTAAATTATTTATTATTAATAATATAATACAGATTAATGGATTCTCCATCATCCCACTGTCTGGAGCACCAATGCACAGCCCCAGCCTCAATGCAGGCAGGTGTCTCCTTGCGCCTAGAGGTGTCAGAGATGTCTCACGATCCTGGTGGAGAGTGGTGCTGCCCTCCCATCCTTAGCTTGAACAACCTCAATGGGTTCAGGTTAACACTCTCAGTATCCTGCAAAGGGTAATGGGCCTGTGGTGTGATCCCACGCTGCCTTGTGTCCCTGGTGCAGCATCCTCCAGCAGTGGCCAATATCCCCATTCATGGAAGTCCTTTACTTTGGTGGATGTGAGTCAGAGCCCAAAGCAAACACAGGTGTTTTTGTCTTAATTCCTTACTGCAGCACACCTGCATGTTAAGCAGGGAGGGGACATGCACGCAAGCAA